ATGAGTTATTGGGAAGTGGGACCTGGTTGAGGGAAGTAGGTCACTGAGGGCATGTCCTGGAAGGGTTTATCTTGGCCCAGGTCCTTTCCTCTTTCTTTGCTTCCCAGCTGTCGTGAGCTAAGCAGTTTTCCTTCACCACATCCTCCCACCAAGATGTTCTGTCTCATCTTTGGCCCAAAGCAATGGAACTGGCTGACCATGGACTGAAACTTCTGCAACCAAGAGCCAAAAGAAAATTTTACTCCTTTAAGTTGTTCACATCAGTAATTTTGCTCACATTGATGAAAAGCTGACTAGCGTAAGCCTGAAGTTATTTCATTATGTGAAAAACTAAGAGGAACAACAATGTATATACAGGATTTAGTTTTTGTTATTAAAATAAACGTATACATACATTGTTATTTTATTTTTTTAAATACAAAATGGACTCTTTCTCGAAGGTACCTGCCCTGATGTCTCCTACAGTTAGTCTGTACAGTGTTGTCCTACTAGCTACACAAAATCCATAGGAAGGTCAATACACCAGGTTTCCCCTCCCCCACTAGCGGACCCCCAACTGCCTTGGTTGCCTGACCTGTGGAAATGCAAGTAAACTTGAACACACACATAAATGTCTTAGATATGCACCCATCACCTATCTACCAGAAACAATAAAAGTTGTTTCTGGGAAGGGAAAAATGGAATTGGCGTCCCTTTCATTGTACTCCCTTTTGGCCTTTTTGATATTTTTGACCTTGTGCATGCATTTTTTTCCCCTCAAAAAACAAAAATAAAAAGGGAAAAAAAAAAAACAAAAAAAAAAAAAGCACATCCAAAAGAGAAAAAAAAAAATCACACTTTTCTCGTCAAGGAATTGGTGCTGGTACCTAGAACTTCTCACTTTTCATGTTAATAGGGAGAAAAAAAAAGGGGTGAAAAGAAGAGGAAACCATCTTCCTCAGGAAGAGGGATGATGCTGGGCTCTTGGAGTGGAAATCTCCCTTCCTCCTTCCTCAGTGGTGGCCAGGTTACAGATGCAAACCCAGGCACACGTGGGGAAATGGGACCGGACGCCAATCAGAACACAAACTGCAGAAGTGAATAGCAAGCCTAAGGATGCTTCAGGTCTACACTGAAAACACCTGACAGCAGCCATTTGATCATCTCGCTTCTGTCCCCACTGCCCCTCCAACCCATAGGAAAAACATGCTCCTTACACCGTTCCAGCAGATCTGCTGAGAATCCACAGAGGTGACCAGTGAAGAGAAAACCTTCTGAAGAGAACCTTCAGGGACTTGCCTGGGGTTCTCCTTTGTGTGGCCACTTGAGAGGTAGGTGGACATCCTGAACTCACCAGAACAGCAAGGACTTTGCCACTAGCTAACCAAACTCTATTTTCTTGTGGATGACATCCTTGAAAGGACAGAAGCCTGCCTTCCTGAGAGAGGTAAGTGTGATTTCTGTATGAAGAAAGGCTAAGTAAACTCCCCTCCTGGAGCAGAAGGCCTTCATCAGCATCAGGTGCATTTGGCAAAGGTGTGCCTCCACAGGCCATGGTATG